CGTCTCTCCTGCGCGTGGTCTGGGACGACTCGGTACAGTGCAACCGCGGCGGCTAGCAATCGGAGGTTGCGAGGGCTGCATGCGTCGCATCTACAAGGCGGCGGACGGCGAGAAGGCGCCCCTGGAACCGCGGCCGACCGGTTTGTTTGAACGGATTGTCGAGCTGCACGTGCCTTGGCAGCATGACTGGGGGGAACTGGCGTCGGGCCTCCCTCCACCCGAGAAAATCGTGGTCCCTTATCTTCGCCGGGACGCACACCTTGCGCTCTCGGAAACCCAAGATTGCATCGAGAAATGGGAGAAAACCGTTAGACGGATGACGTCTCGGTCTTCTTCGCTCTGTCGTGCATAAGCAAATACTTTGTATCTCGGGTCTTCTGCTTCCTCCTCTATTTTTTGTATCTTTTTGACGGTGGTGGGGGGAGGGGGGGGGGGGGGGGGCTCACACGATCTTAAGTGAGGTTGTTACGCAACGTCTGCTCTCATGCTTCCTTGAAGACACAATCCTGACCAGTTTCTAGTGTTTGGTTTCATTTTTCCCCCCTTTGATTAATGCGTATATCACGATAATTCAAAAATGCTTCCAGTATACTATGGATATGTATACATCAAGGTGCTTTTATGTGTGCTTATTTTGAAAGTATTCGGAGAGAGAGAGGGGGAATGAGGGGGGGGGGGGGGGGGACGGAACTTGAATTGGTTCCGTTTGCTACTTTGCGCGATGATGTACGGTATTGGATCTTACATTTGTCGTCCATATCAAGTTAGTTGTTTTGATTTATGCGTATTTCATGCTAGAAAGCTATCTTACTTGTGTCATATATAATAACCTAAGAATGTCTAGAAGCAGTTATTGTACGTCCAGTTTTGCTCGCCACCTGATCACGATAGTGCGTATACCATCGTATGGAAGGAACATACCAGCGCGTGGCATTTCCAGAGAATCGTCATCATCATTATCATCGCCGCCGTCGTCGTCGTCTTTTTTTATTATTATTATTACCTGTGGGGCATTATACAGTGGGTTGGCAGTGAAATAAGAAGTAGAACAGTAAACACAAATATAACAATGTAAGGTAGCTATCTAAGTTAGGTAGAAAGAGGGTAATGGATTCAACCAATTTAGCGGTATCATTTAGAGAAACGATGTTGTGAGGTAGTGAGTTCCAATCCTCGATAGCCAGTGGTAGTGTGGAAGTTTGATGAGAAACAGTTGATGATCGAATTGGACGTAATTTACATGTGTGATCTGAACGAGGGAAAATACGATTGGAAGGTGATAGTAATGATCCTCCTGAGAGTGGTATTGTAATAGAAAAGTGGTTGAAGGAGAGAGGGGAGTGACACTCGGCGGCGAAGGGAAAGCGAATGAAGGTTAGCTCATTGGCGTAATACTAATATGCAGGCACATTAAATCAGCAACGGTTGTCGTCTACCTTGTTCAGCGAATTCGAAATTAATAGTACACAGAGAGCTGGTCAAAAATTGAGTCCGCGGAAACCAGTGGCCGGGATGGTCTAATCGGTTAAGGCGTCGCCCCGGACAGGCGAAGGTTGCGGGTTCAATTTTTGGGCCACGAGCTGGGGCTCCTGGCCCAATTTTTCGCCAGCTCTCTTTCCCTTCCCCTTTCCGTAACTTTAATGCAATAAATTCAATAATCACTTTCTCCCCTCTTCGTTCACAATATTACAACAGCTGCACTTGTCAATCTTCACTCATTCCCAGCTCCGCTTTGAAGAGATTCTAGGAGATTCGTGACGTATGACTGCCATGGATGCCACATAGATGAGGCCTATTCTAACTTGGATCTTATAAGAATAGTATACGCTAGTCATTTTACGGAGGGTGTAGTTCCTTCTAATAGGTCAGAGGTGAGGTGAACAGCCAGTCAGACAACATAAAAAACAGTTGTTGGGGGACCGTCACAAAAGGCATGGATGAAGTTTACAAAGCGACAGCTCCCTCCGCCCCCTCTTGAAATCAGATCACTCAGCAAAACAGACAATATATTTACTGTTTTACATAAATGGCATAAAAAGCCCTGCGACGATTCGCAGTCAATCCTACCACATTCCATCACGCGACAGGAAAATTTTCCTTTTTTTCTTCATTTTTAACAGAACAATCCCCCCAAAGTAAAAAAAAAAAAAAAAAACACCAGTGCGTAAAAAAAAAAAAAAAAAAAAAAAATCATTCTGTTCCCAGCGACAGAAAGTTCACATTCATGTTCTTCCTAAATATTATCTGCATTGACTTCCTTCCTTCAATGGCAGGGATTTACATTTATCAAAGTTTAGCGTCATTTGCCATTTTTCGCACTGCTGAATTACAGACGCAAGGTCTTCCTCGAGAATTAGATGATCATGGTATGAAAGATGGTTTGGTATATGACACAATCGTCGGCGAACGGGCGCACAGAAGCTGTTTTATGGTGGAGATTATTAATGTAGATCAGGAACAGAAGCCGAGTTCGGTTCCCTGGGGGACGCCTGACGTTACGGTAAAGGTGACATATTTTACATTGTTAACGGAGGAATAATTGCTTGCGGTTAGTTAGGAATTCAGAAATTAACAACAGAGGGGTGAATGTTAATATCGTTAAGCATCGTTAAACGACGTTGATGAGGAACTTGGTCGAAAGCTTTGGAGAAGTCAACGAAAATGGCAGTTTGTGCGTTCGAATCGAAACTAGAATATGTCAGTGAGGAAAGCGGCTAGCTGGGTTTCAGCCTAGTAAAAGATTGTCGAAGTTTGTTCTGATGTGTAAAAAGGTTGTGAGAGTAAAGAAAGTTTATGATATTTAAGCTAAGTATATATATGCTTCATGAGCTTATATGGAACACTGGTGAGAGAAATGAGACGGTAATTACTTATCAGTTGTCAATCACCAGTTTTGTGAACATGGATTACGTTAGCAATTTTCCAGTAACACGGAACTATGGAAGGCGTGAGAGACTGCGAGAATATGTCACAGAGGAAATATGTTTAGTGTTTATTAATACCTTCGAGCTAATTTGGTCATCCCCAGAGCTCGAGGATATCTTTGGGTTATATACTGCTTACCATACGCCCTGCGTGGTCAATTATGATAGGATTCATCTGAGGGTGAGACAGTGTGCACGAGTCGGGAACGTTTAACAAGTCTTCGTTAGTAAAAATTGATGTGAAAAATATTTTTTAAGATAAAGAGCGCTATTTTTAATCTGAAAGTGGAATGCCGTCGTCATTTATGAACTGCAGTTGAAGTGATAGAGCTGGATTGACCACTTTCCAGAACTTTTTGGGGTTTGTTTGTTAAAACGGTCGGGACGTCATGAATATAAAATTTGGTTATAGTATCAGTTCTGGTGGTCTTGTATGTCCTAGTACACGCGTGACATGCATCCCACAAGGCTGAACTGTTAAGCGACTTCGCTCGTTAAAGCCGTTTCTTTGTCTTGTTAGCATGCTTTTGGACTTTTTACTTTTTTTTTTATACCATGGATGACAGTTATCAGATAGGATGCGGGTCAGTTGAATGAAACGCTCAACTAAGTGGGTTAGCTTATTTTTACAGAGCGTCCAGTTTTCATAGATTTTTCTTCCCTCCAAATGAACAAAGAATGATTGGTAAAAGTACTCGAGGCATGAGTTGATGGATACGTTGTCAGCCGTAGCGTAATCGCGAATGTATTTGCAACAGTGTTATTTTCAAGGAACAGAGAGAAAGATATAGAGAGAAAGTTTGTTAGGTCGATGACAAGACTGTCCTAATTTCTGGTAAATATATGACGCTGCTAAAAATGGAGGCTCCTTGCTTAAAGGGCAACTCCGGTCAAAAACGAAACCATAATAAAGGACTGATATTGCTTTATTGCCATGGAATATGATCACTGACGAAAAGTCAAAGTGAAGCCGCGTTCTCCTCTGAACCCGATTTTAAAGAGCTGTTCTTTAGCGGGCGGCAAACCAGTAAGCTTTTAGTCAAGGAGCACTGGCGCAGCGCCCTTGTGACATCACGTCGCCGCCGTGCGGCTGATGATCAGTGTTGCCATCCCTCTAGCAGATAGTTTCGGTTTTGCCGCAGACGCCCGAAACCAAACTTTGAGCCGTGATATTTATAGCACTACACACAATATCGAAGAAAGAATTGTCCCTTGTAATTCAGGGGTACTGCTTTAGCCGAAAACAGTCGTAATACCGAAATCAAAACTATTGACCGGAGTTCCCCTTTAAGCACAAATCGAGAATTTTGCTGCAGCAGTCAGTAATTCCAGTGGGCTGGGGGATAATATTTGGTAGGTTGTAATCAATGCAAAGCTCTATAAAGTCTTGAGAGTAAGTGCAAGTAGATGGCAAGGTAGACCAATTAATATTCGGGTAATTAAAATCACAAAAAAAAGTACAACAGACGCGTTAGGATATTAAACAGCAAGTTCTTTCTTTTTTTCAATCAACATGAACAGTCTAGTGAACGACAATAACACAACACGTTCTAAGCACCTCGAACGTTTTCCGTTCGCACAGAAACTGCGTGACGCGGGTTCAGGATCCCCTTGTTCTCTGCATTTTTAGACCAGTATGTTCGGACATATAGATTTAGGCATTATGTGCGAATAAGGAAAATGTGAATAATTATATTTGTTCATCCGTTATAATTCTCTTCTTTTCTGTATTAAAACAGAAAATGAGAGAGGACACAAGACTATTGGTTTGAGCATAGAAAAAAATGAAATGAAAAAAATTGAATAAATTTAACGAGAAAGCTGCATGTCCAGTATGACAGCACACTCGTTTCTAGTGGACACTTCTTGTCTTCTCACGGAGTGATACAACACAGTCACTGTTTCTGCCCTTGGGTGATCTAATTAGGCTGTCGTAATTAAAATGATGCCGTGATGACTATATTGTGTGGCAACTTTAGAGCATGTTCTGAGGACCGTGTTCTCTCAGATTCTTTGATCTCGGGACAGTTTGAGCGCTGCAGTTATGCTTATAGTCCTTGTGTCCTGTGTGTGCAGGGAGCTCAAGGCAACGTCCGGCCAATGGATGCAGGACCTGTGCCGCAGGTCGAGCCGACGCCGGAAGTTGAACGGACCGCCCGTGACAGACCTTCTGGGCCGGGCCCTGGAGTGTTCCAGGGACTGCCAGCCGTCACAAGAGCGTGGATCTCCAGGAAGGGCACGTGACGCCCCCGACTCCTACTACCCGAGACCCCCCGCCCCCTTCGGTGCTACCGCCGCCGCATCTTCGTCGCACCCGGACTCGCCGCAGTCCTTGCTCACAGCGCAGGACAGCCTGTCCTCCGAAGTGGCCGACTCGGCCGACGACTCGGCCAGCTGCTCAGCGTCCAAGCCAACCGCCGCCTCCGAGCGGACGTCGGCGTCTTCTACGCCGCCCACCGCCCACCTGTCCCCTACGGGAGCCCGCTGGGCGCCGCTCAGGGGACCCCTCAGAGCGCCTCTGCGGAAACTGCCCCGTCAGGGCTCCCTGTCTTCGTCCAGCGACAGCCTCTCCGCTGAGCCCCGGACCAAGGAGGCGCTCGAAGAGTCGCCGCCAGTGCCGTTCCCCAGGACGAAGCGGCAGAGCCCGCAGCGCCAGGCCAAAGTCCAGGAGAAGTCCGCCGAATGCGAGCCGCAGCATCAGCGTCTTCCAGAGCCCAAGGCGCCCGTGGCGGCGTCCCTGTCGGCGCCCGCGTCCCCGGCATTTAGGGCCCGCGCCCGGAGTGCCTTGACGGTGACGTACAGCAGTCCACCGTGCGTCCAGGACGGACCACCCCGAGCTTCGATGAACGGTGGCGAGCGCCCAGCGCCCGTCCGCAAGGCGACGGCACCCGAACTGACCGGACTGGAGAGGGCCAAGGAGGTGGCCTTCCGGAGGGTCACCCTCAGCAAGGTCAGGATGGACAGCAATGGTGAGTGGGCCACAGCTGTGCTCCTTCCGGTCGAGTGGGCGCTCCCACTTGTGCCTTGTCTGCGCGTTCCTTGTTCCCATCTGCATGCTGGGCGGACTCGCTCGTTTGCGGTCCCTGCTGTTGTGTTGCGTCCGCGCCGCTTTCACCTTTTCCTTCAACCTGCACCCACGCTCGAGTTCGTGATGTGTCTCTTTGGCTTTGCTGTGTTCGGTGTTGTCGCCGTGTGGGCCGCACCTTGATATTGTTCCAGTGTGTGCGTGAGTATCTCTTTAAAGTCGATGCTCCTGGGTTGGCTGGCAGGTAGCCGCCTCCATTTTTTTGTTGCCTGATTTCCCGCGTGCGCGCTGGGTGTAATTGTTTATTCGAATGTGTGTGATTCTTTGGCTTCGGATTTGCTTGTGCGCTGAGAAACTGGCGAAATACTCGTGGTAACAGAAACATGTGCACTCAAAAGCAATTTATCGTGGCCTTCAAATAAAACGAAATCGTCAAAAATTAAACAAAGGCTATTTTTATTTCAATGTACTACACGTATAGTCTATAGATAGTAATTTGCCATTTTGTATTTACGCTGTTGGCGACCTCGAATATGATAAATGATTATAATGTATGTCATTTAACAGCTTTCAGATATAATAATCTTTTTTTTTTTTTTTTTATTAAAGGGCAACTCCGCTTCATTTTTGATATTTAGCAAACTATGTAGCCCTCTTCAGTATCATATAGGAAGACCCCATGTCAAATATTACGATCTAATTCCGTCTATATATTTAATAAACTGGCCAGCGAGCCTTTAAGCGAGCCAAGTCGCCGAAATCTGCCAACTCTAGCGTGCGGCGCGAGGCGCAATCATCAGCGCAGTCAATGCCACGGAGTTGGAGCGGCCAACGTTGAACCACTACGTCAGAGGCATGCATACTTCATTCTCACGTTTTGCTTGTTTTTACTTTTCAGAGCGAAATTTAACGATGACGTCATGAGTTTCTCCTCCTGGTGTTGGCTGACCGGGCGTTCACGTGATCACCGCTGCCCTGCGCGCTTATCGGTCTGTTTCTCCGCTCCCCTTCTCCTCTTTCGTCTTCTCCCTTTCCCCCTCTCCCCCGGGCCATCACCGTCCACGCCATGCAAAACGACCTGCCCGCGTCCAAAAAAAAAAAAAAAAAAAAAAAAGGACCTGTCCGCGTTGCGTGTCCTGTTTCTCGCTCCCTCCCGAACGTCACAAGACCACGTGGTTCGACGTGAGGTGCTCATGACTGTGACGACCCGAGACCAGTGTTGCCTGACGCAACCGAAGTTTCGGTTTCGGTATCTGCTGATGTTTAAATTAGGATTACACAAATATTATTCCACATTTCGCGAATCCGAAGACGTAGAGTTGTTGAGTATTACTTTGTGAATGTGAATCACATGGAAGCCTAAATTTTTCGGAATTGAGCGGAGTTGCCCTTTAAGCAGCTGTTAATATTTTCTTTTCTTTTTCAACAGTTGTTTGGTAGGTATGATTTTCGGTTTTTCGGTTCAACTTGTTTGATGAGCAATGATGTAAAATTTTCGAAGCGCGCAGTGTAATACTGTTGCACATCGCTGAAATGATTTGTTTGACGAGTGAAATCCAGTCAACATTTTAAAATCCATATGCGGGTGGTAGACCTCCCACAGTTTTTCGAAACTTAGCCAGCAAGAAATATTTAAAAAGTTAGAAAAACGAGTAATTAACTGCTAGCATTATTTAGCTTTCAAAGCGGCCTCGTAAGCGTGTCGTTATTGAAACTACTCTCCCTGTTTATGACCAAGACTCGAAGTAATTTTGGATAATATATCACCGTGTACGACCAAAAATAAAAGCAGTGTGCCTTTCTCCTGTACGTTTTGCTTTCCAGCAATGACAAGCCTTTTCTTTTTTTTTTTTTTTTCCTGTTGGTTTCGGTAAGATTTTTCTGGTTGAGCTCGGTCGCCTGTGGACTTCATTTCTGATCCGTACTGTCGAATCGGCAGTCCACACGATCACATTAGTGCGGTTCACAGCGTAGCGGCTCGCGTTCCAGTAGTGATCTCGGGATTGCGAAAACTGTCCATCTCATTGACCACATGACCCACCTGCGAATCAGGACGTGACTGGTCAGTGTCGAAAACGTCATTACTCGGTTCATTGATCTTTTCCGCATTGCCACATCGTATTGTGTCGGGCCGCGCTGCGCACGGCGGTGTGTTTTAAAAGTTAGGGTACCGTAGTTGGGGGGAGGGTATCGGTGGCCGAGTGGGCTAGCGCACACCAGCTCGGAGCACGTGGAGTGAAAGCTCGCGCTGAAGAACCCGGGGATCCTAGGTTCAATCCCCACGCCTGCCTGTTTCGACATGGACGAGTACCGTCCCGGATTACGGTCGTGTATCACTACTGTGCGGTGCACGTTAAAGACCCCAGGCTTGTGGTTATACTGAACTGGCTAAATTGCTCATCTACAGCTGAGAGAAAAGTCGCCCGTTGAGGCCGACTAGCTTCAGGCTGTATGAACATCCACACAAAACACAAATTAAAAGAATGCGTTTCAGTCAGAAAACATTTTTATAAGAATACTGAATACAACTACGAAGTTTTCGGGTGTGTGTGCTTTCTTTTCTTTTTTTTTTCTGTAAGCGACGTGTTTTTATTGTAACGAAGAGAATCACGAAAACGACGTCATTTTTCTCCAAAACCTTTAAACGCGTTTTTTTTTTTTTTTTTTTTTTTAGTCGAAAGCATGTTTTTGGGTGCCAAGTGAATCCAAATGCTTGCGTCGTTTTCTTGTTCTCCATACTTTGAGTAATTCTACAACAATCAGCCGAGTGTGACGGCACAGTCGGGTGATTGTTGTGGAACACTTCGAATGCAAAGATGGCGACCCAGCACGTGCCTCTATCGTGGCATTACGTGCGGCAAGTGCATTTCTCAAATTCAAGCTCGCGCCTGTGCATTCGACAGGACTGTGCCCGAGGTATACCCTTTCCTCGCCTTCACAGTTCGACTGTGTCGCCACGGCAGTTTCCGTCCACGTTTTACTACTCTACGTCAGCGCCGGTCCCCGACCGTCTGGGACTGTATCAACAGCTCTGAGAGGAAGGCATTAACAAATTTTCTTCAATAATTCCCAACTCATTTTTTTTTTCTTGTCCCTTTGATGAACGTTCCCTACTTGTTCGATCCGCCGCTATCTTCGTACACACGCTCTCAAACTGTTCGGACCTACTACAGCGCTGTAAAGACGTCGAGTCAGTGTCCGGCCCACCTTTCTCGAGTGTATCATCCACTTGGCTGGCTTCGTTGGCATTCGCGCTTTGGAACGGTTGAACAGGCTTTCTCGGCGCTCTTGTGTTTGTTGACTCGAGCGGTATAATTTGTTCGAGAACACTGGACTTGACCCCGGGCTTCCGGAAAGAACAGGGCCTGCGAGCACTCTCGATTACACCTTTGAATGCTTCCCTGCCACATGCTCTGAGTATGATCGATTCCTCATTCTTCAGCTAGACCAATAATAGCCGAGCCGATGCGTTCGGTGATTGCATTCAAAGTAGTCTGCCCTATTGTGACGACAAGGAGCCGATCCTTTATCAGCGTCGGTGTGAACATTGGCCTTCCTAAGGCCAAGTCTCTCTATAGAACGGCAAACAAAAACTGTTCACAGACATGTCAGGTACCTTATTACGAACCTTCACCAGCTGGGATGATAATTCGAACTAGGCAACAAGAGACATTGTTTCGTTCATTCATTTATTTTGAGTTCCACATACAGTTTGACGACTCTTTACTGGTGCACTTCTTTGAAGAAGAACTGAAGCGGTCCTGTATTTGAGAAAGTACACTTCAGTGGCCTTCATTCGGCCTCCAGGATCACGAATATCGAGATTATTTTTTTTTTCAATTTGGTGCACGGTGGCTGCGGAAATTAATTTTTAAAGTACCGCCAAAGCCCCTCCTTCCCGGGACGTCACGTCACACTAGGAGTTTTCGGGATCTCTGCTCTCGCGCATCTTCAGCGCCTGTCAAAGCTATGCACGCGCACTCTCGCTATTTTCGAAAGGGTCAGAAAGCGACGTCACGACTGGTGTCAGTGTGGGAAAATAGACCTGGCAAGCTCGCAATTGCACGCGCTGCCCACACGAGCGACACGGGCTTGGCGGCCCAAAGATCCTAGTATACGAAGTCACGACTGGTCGGAGGTTTTTCGCGTTTTCTCGCATTTAGTTACATCTTCGGGGGAAAACGAAAGTGATATTCGGATTCGCGGGATAAAGATATGCCGAAACTCATCTCTAACTCGTTTTTTTTTTTAGGTGTTTCAGTTGTTTTTGTTTTTTGTTTTTATTTGTTTTAATAACCATAACGAAAAATTGCTCGGAGGTTAGATGTACTATGCTGCATAACTTTCCGCAGAACTACGTGGGGGTGGCACAAGAAACGAGAGGGATGTGATAACTGAGAGGCCATGCCTTGTGCACTCGTCCCAGATGGGTTGTTTGTGGCAGCCGGAGTTACGTCCACGGGTTCGTGACGCATGACGAAGGCGGGTGCGCGAGAAGCGAATGCCCGTGGCTCGGATATAAGCGAAGTCACGTGACCTGGCGTCACGGCACCTACAGACCAATTCAGTTTCACCTCTAAAATTAGCAGGGAAATTGATGTCACGTGACTTGGACACCAGTTATCCTTCCCCGCTAAATTTGGACGGAGAATTGATGTCTTCCACCGAAAAATCTCGTCGCCAGAGCGGAGAGCGAGACGTCCGCTTCTCGCGCAAGAGTTGCGGTGACGCCATAAACGATGCCGAGCTCTGGTCGACTTTGATCGGAAGGATAGTTGGTAGACCTCAATGCGAGATGCCCCGAGGTCTACCCATAATTATGTGTTGTTGTTTTTTTCTGTTTTTTGATCAGCCAATAAAGGCCCGTTCACACTCTTGCAACCGACCATGACTGAGAGAGACGAGATCTCTTAAAACTTCTTAAATGTTTTTAGAATGAGGGAA